CGGACAGCGGGCCAGGGAAAACGAAATGAGTGGCGGCCTGAGTTGGGCTCACGGCCGCCAAGTTGCACGTAGCTCACGGGCTCTGTGTAACTGCATTAAAGGGTAAAACCAAGTGCTGCTCTCCATCAAGTCACTGGGAATAATGGGTTTTTTTTACAAAAACCACGTTATACATCAGCTGCTGTGAATTGATTCCTTTGCTTACTATAAAATTGATGCCTCACTACACATATTTCCTTCAGTTTGGAGAGGACGAATCACTCAAGCTTTTGTTTGTACTCGTTTCACTTCTCAAGTTCTTTGATGGTGTATTGCTTGTCTTTCAAACCCGGCAGAGAGGTGGCAAATTTCTGTTGCTCTTGGGGTTTTTCTAGAGCTTGCTTTTACAAGCCCTGTTTTAAGCTGTATTGCTTAAATGTTACTGTGAAGACTAGACTTTAAAGTTGGTAATGTTTACACAAGGAGGATCCTGTGGCAGCTAGGTTTATTTGGGCCATAAGCTTTGGTGGGCAAAAACTTGCATCCCATTAAAACAGCAGTGAACTAGACAAGACTCCATTTGTTTCAGTGCTGCTCACAAGAAGGAAATGGCAGCACTTAAACAAGTCTAACTTAGCAAGTTCACTTTGTTGCTGTTTAGGGAAGCTATAGACAGGCCTGGAGTTATGGAACTATCTGTGGTCTCAGAGAGACCTTTCTTGTTTGGATCATGTTTGTAATATTCCCACTCCTGGGTGCTAGGAAGAGGGAGACTTGAAATGAAACAAAATATGCAGAAAGTGCTTATGTTATGTTATTGATACTCCTCTCTATCTAATAAAGTACAGGCAGTCCCCGGGTTACATACAAGATAGGGACTGTAGGTTTGTTCTTAAGTTGAATCTGTATGTAAGTCAGAACTGGTGGTCAGTTTCAGCAGTGGCTGAATCTGGACGCCAGTTCCGACTTACATACAGATTCAACTTAAGAACAAACCTACAGTCCCTATCTTGTATGTAACCCGGGGACTGCCTGTACTTTATTAGATAGAGAGGAGTATCAATAACATAACATAAGCACTTTCTGCATATTTTGTTTCATTTCAAGTCTCCCTCTTCCTAGCACCCAGGAGTGGGAATATTACAAACATGATCCAAACAAGAAAGGTCTCTCTGAGACCACAGATAGTTCCATAACTCCAGGCCTGTCTACAGCTGCCCTAAACAGTTTGGTATCATCCGCAAACTTTACTACCTCAGGGTATGTCTACACTACCCCGCTAGTTCGAACTAGCGGGGTAATCTATGCATACCCTCACTGCTTACCCCTTT